CTATGGATGTGCAAAGTTTTTGTGAATTGTGAAATGTTCGTAATGCTGCCTCAACATTTTTTAGCTGTATTCTGACTGTAACTGCTATTAACATACATAACCGTTAGATTTCTCCTGTATTTTCTCACCCTTATAACGGTACAGTGTTGCTCATATATAATTAGATTTGACATAGTCCCTCCTGTGCCTGTTCAACGGTTGGCAAGCGTTTCCTCCTCAAAATCCTGTAACTTTTTATTGACTATTTTAACTGTTTGAAATACTCACCCCTAAAGACAGTATCTGTGTAGTCGCATACAGAAGCCATGGGTGTTAATCAGTGGGGGACTAGTGGGGGAGAAGGGCCCCCCACTTTTTAAAGTGGGGGGGGGGGAGGTATTTAAAGTGGGGGTATCATATTGTTTACCACCCCCCCCCCACTTTTTTTCTAGTCTGAGTATCACCCGTTATCCACAGAGCCAAGTCTCCTGTATAACGTCTGATATGTCTAATACATGCAAGCCGTGCGCCAGCCAATCAGAGTCAACTTTACTAAATCGTGACATCATTTCATTCCCAAATCAGGACGAATGGTTTGATTGGTCAATTTGAATGCAGTGTTTTGTAATACAGCAACGGCCGGGCGCATATCGCGTAACATGATACAGAGCGCGTGACACAGGTTTTTTATCCATGTCTATGACACGCAACGGGTGAATGACTGAAGACCCGATATAGAAAGCGCGCGCTGATTGGTCAAAATCTAAGAGATGAAGAGGTAGTACTTTGCATAATTGACCAGCGAATCTTTTCATATGTAATAGACCATGGCTTTCGCCACGGTCTATGACATACATGTAGACTAACTTTTTCCTTCCCTGAATAAAGATCGTAGCCTACAAACGATTCTGTAGCTCAGAATAGCTGATTCGGTGACTCCAAACTCGAAAATGATGGTTAAATGGCAATCTTTTGCTTAAAAAAATGGTTAAAGTGGCCAGAAATTGCCTCTGATCACACCACAGAGCGTCTTGAATCTACATGCAACATTTTTTAGGGCTCTTAAAGCAGGCCCTGAACCCCATGCTGTTAGGGTTTTGCGCTCACATTAGTTCTGATCAAGGTATGCCCCCCCCCTCCACTTTTGAGAAGCGATTGACGCCCTAGGCAGAAGCACTGGGCAGTAGCAAGCTTTGCTCCTGGCCTCTGTAGGATGTATAGTACATTGTATGTGCAAACTTTCTGGATATGATTCAATATTAAGTTATTTTTAATAAGGGAATAAATGTGTGCTCCGGAGGTTTTTATCACTCTGTTTAATACCGCTTAAAGTCTGGGTGCTGATAATTACCTTAGCCGGAGGCGAGGGTAATTATCAGCACCCAGACTCTAAGCGGTATTAAACAGAGTGATAAATACCGACCGAGCACATATTTATTCCCATTCATAAATACCTTATCCGTAAAAAATTATCAAATAATTCGTTCAAAAAATCCCGATTTTGTTCAACAAGTTCACTTCATGCTTTTTGAAACATCCCTCTAGCAAAATAATGGAGTGTTCAGCTGGCGAGTAAGATGTAAACAACCCTTTTATGGAGATTGACGCGCGCGTAGCATGTTCTGCGCGATGTCGCGCAGAACGCACCTGGGGCGTTGCGTTTTGAATTTAGAACTATAAAATTCTGACTCGCTTGTAGTGTTGCGCATGCCTACGTGAGGATTGTGAACGTTCAACCAATGAAACGGTAAGAGGCACTGGATTTTTAGGAGTCCACATTTTATTGTGACACTAGAAAAGTGTTTAAGACCAGCTAGCCATGTCTTTATCATCCGTTTAAGACCGGCCACGTGACGGGCTCTCGACCAATAAGAATAGCTAAACTGTCTGAGGTATTGATGAATGGTTCATAAATCAATTTTAGAAACACCAAGAATTCTTTGGAAAAGGAAACTGCAGGGCAGAGTGTGTAAATATGAGGTCCCATTTTCAAAGATGTACCGTCAGGGTTCTGCAACAAATTCAATTATTGAAACCAAAAAAGTTTATATTTTGGGTACCGGTATCTGCAACCCTTTGATAAAAGGCTTGTAACAGAAGTCCGGTTTCTGGCCTCTATGTTATCGATACTAAAAGGGGGCTGGAACTAGTCTAACTTGCAGAACTGTTGGATGTAAACAATTCAAAATCTATGAAGTCAATATTTCATAACTAAAACATGTGACAATTTTTTGGCAGATGTCATGTTAAATATTGAATTTCTTTTGTATTGCTAAACAAATTTCAATTTGAAATACATGGGGGGGGGGGGATGGGGATGGGGACGTGCCCCCCAGCTTATGCCTGTCCCCACCTCCTGGTGCTACCCATTTAAAATCTTGAACTGAACAAAAACAATATCATTTGCCTTCACTGCTCCCCTTGAAATAGTTATGCATCCCAAGTCCCCCACCCCCATTTTTTTTTAACCCTACCGGTAGATACGCCACTACCTGATTGGTGTAATTTCCATAGGACGCACCTATAATAAAGCAATGAAGGAATTAAAATGTTCTCAGAAAAGGCACATGGAAATTTTTACCAGCATGAAACCACACCACTCAAAGTCAGCACATGCCACATCCAGCCGGTTAAAAATGGAGAAAAAAAAATGAAAACAAAATTATTCAGGAATTGTCAGCTGGCAGAAAGAATTTCGGAAATAACAGTCTGGGGGCCATATAAAAGCCATGTAGGTTGGTAACAGGGACTGCTGTACTGCCTATAGCTGTCCACAGGGTGAAATGTGTCCAAGTGAATAACAAGCTGTCACATGGTATTAGAATAGCTGCCAGCTTGCCTGGAATAGTTGAACTCCAGCGCAAGCACGTTCTGCTGAGGCCTGAGCATGTTGAACGTGGATTTTTTTTTTTTTTATCAAGTTCATCTTGAGCGACATGAATTCCGTGAATACACATCATAGCAATGGTGGGATGTTGGGCTGGAAAAAGCCTGGAGTTGTTTCTGAGAAATCACTGAAGGGCTGTAAAAGTAATCCGAAGTTATTATTTTGTTCTTTCGCTGTGTATAGTTTTTAGAATTAGGGGCCTACTGGTATGTGTATGTGTGCCTGTGTACATCAAGTTTTCATTTAACTTATTAAGTCTCTACTATGGGCTGTGTGCAGTAGGGTGCTGCAATAGGTGAAATGGGCTCCGTGCACAAGTACCCCCTCAACGGCAAGAGAGGGAGAGTTAGGGGAGACCACTGGGAGAGACATTCGAACGCATTACCGAAGACGTCTAATTCTCATGCAAAGACACCATGGCTTTGTGTACATTCAGAATAAAATAGTCGGGCGTACTTGGCGTGCAATCCAGCATGCGCATGCATTGTGTCCCATCCACGGCGCTCTCAAAAGTCGTAAAAAAAGCGCCCTCTCTTGTTTGCGCATGGAGCCCAGGCAAGGTGTTGCTGTTTGCCCATCATTCACTTTAATATAGTGATTGGACTAGCTGTATGTCCGCACTTCAAAACGCTGACAAAACGTGATGTAACAAGTCCCATATTCAGGAAGGTGAGCCCTCATCAAACCCACTGACACATCTGCAGTTTAGACATTTGTCATGTCTTGATCCAGGAGTTTTTGTCATATTCCCACCCCGCCCATACTTTGGCTAATCCAGTCAATGCCATCACTCTAACCACAGTAACAGAAATACACATGTATTAATATGTGCCGGTGCCTCTAACCCGCTAATTTATTGTGACAGTGGTTGCGTCACTAGCATGAAATCAAATTTCTGCAACAGCCTCAAAATATGGCCTAAGCTGCTAGCTGTTAGAGGAACGTTCATCCAGCATATTTCTGCCAAATTGACCCAGACAATATGACCCTGGATTTGTACTACTCCCGAAGCCTTCAAAAGTGCATGGACTTTTAAAGAAATTTAGCAGAAGATAACTCTAGCTTAGTGAGGTCAGATCAAATTGGCGAAATGTTATTTTCCTCACCTTTCACAACAGTGAGTCGGGTTCAAATCACGCCTGGGCCAATATGTGACCCGCTCCACAAAACTGAGTCTGTTGTGGCAAAACTGAAATTTTGAGTTAACTACATTAATAAAATGGGAATGAAATAAGCTTTCATTTGGTATATCATGGGCCTCTCTAGGACGTTTGGTTGCACTGTTGTGACTTTTTAAATTCTGTCAAGTTTTCGCAAAGCAAGAAATGTCTCAATGAAGAAAAAAGGGTTTAAAAATTACAAATACACTGTAACTAACCAAGAAAAGCACCAAAAATCATACATTTTTTTGACTTTTTCTTACAATATTTAAATTTCTGTGTAAGATATCTGAACTAAAACTATCAAACAACCAAAATAAAACAAGAACAAAAAATCCAAATTTTGAGCAAATTTTCACTGTTTCCATTTAAAAGTGGTAAAAGCTGGAATTCAAGCTATGCGACATCAGACGCATTTTTGCAGAGCGGGTCACATATGTGGACTGGGTTTTCAGTCCCTACCTGATTCTCTGTGTGTACATGCGGAATTATCTCTTTTTTTGGGGGGGGGGGTTCTCTCACCTCTAAAACTTAGTTACTTTGTATTTCTTCATTGTCTTCCAAACTACGCATGCCTTTTTGTGTAATAATCCTTGGTTTTATTGCCAGAAGACAATTCTTATTAATTAATTAAAGTTGGATTTGAACTTATGACTCCCTGACAACTTGCTAGGGTCTGAAGACTGATTCAAACTCACTGGATCCCAAAAAATCAAGCAGAAGACATTTCACTAATTTTTTTTAAAAATTGTTTTGTATTGGTACATGTATAACTTTTGTTTAGTTGATATTATTTTAGGGTATTAGTTTTGCTGCAGTTTAACTTGTTTAAATGTAAAATGTATAGAACAGCTTGAGAAAAGCATTTACATGTACATGTACCCATGATTTGGTGAAAAATAACTTGACTCCACCTCTTCTGTTGTTCTCATGCATGTATTCATGTTTGTCCATTGTTTGTTTGATTGCTGCAGGGGACCAGTACCAGACGGTCCCGGACCCTGGTCAAGGTCAGTTCATTGGCAAGCTTAGTGTCACCGGTGTCCTCAGTCAAGAGGGTCAGCATCGCATTGCAGGTGAGACTGATCATTAGTCTTAATTACTACAAAGTACAAGGATCAATTGACGACAGTGTATCCCCTGTGTGCATTGTCGGTCGAGGGCGCTCTGCTTAGTCTCTCATGAGATTCATTACTCTTGTCAGTATGCAAAGTATTATTCAAAATTACAAGCACAAGCCAATTGAACTATTGCGGTAGAATCACGTTAGAATCGCGTCAACGCAGCTTGTGAAATATTGTCCAATTATATGATATACAAATGGACGCGGAACGCGCAACTTCTGAGACAAACAAAACTTAAGGGGCGTGGCTACGCGGCCTACGCCCCTTAGACAACCCTATGGATTTTTTGTGCGCTAAGTTTGCGAGTTGAACTCGCAAACGGCAATTGGTCAATTGGGCATGCACAACGGTTCTGGGTACTGTTTGACAACAGTCAATCAGCACTCAGTACTGCATTAATATGGGAAAGTTTGAAGGGATAACGGACGGAAAAGATTATGCAATACAATGTTGCCATACACAGTGTGGGTACACACAGCACGACATGTGTGGACATGCGACAGATCCATGTATGCGCCCATTGTACTTCAGAGGAATTAAAACAAATCGCTGTGCAAAACAATTCATATGTTTTATGTACAAATGTATGAGTGTAAGAGTGTACATGTATCTCGACACTGACTCTCGCAGTAAAATCAACTGTCCTGAGACACTCAAAAACTGCTTTAAATTGTTCCGCTTGTAACAATTGTTTAAATTAAATTGTTTTGTCTTTTTTATGGATGACTGAGTATCATTGATTTCAAAACAACAACTTCTGTTTTTCTTTCTTATTTTACGCAGTCTGTTTTCTTCTTCTATGACATTTCCCCTAACAAACACTCTACCGGTATTTCTCCTACTTGTTGTTCTTGTAATCAGGCCTTAATCTATTGCATTTGATGCATCAATGTTTATGTGCTGGTAACCACAGTACCAGGGTACCAAACAGTTATATAATTGATTGTTTATTAGCGGTAAGTGGGTTTTGTCTTTTGTTTTTCACCTGGTACCAGTATTTGCTCCTACAGGTACTTACTAATTATATATTGTGATGAATATCTGGCCATAATTATTGCAACCGGATTTGGATGTTATTTCCGTTACGCTAGAAGTAACCTTCTGGACAGTTGTGACTACCATTTGTCCGTTGCAAGGACGGCTATTTCTGTGCAAACTTCCTTCCTACCCGCTTAATTGCGTTGCGGTTTACAGATAACCAAATTTTGGTTTGGAAATAACCCACTTTTGATCAATTGAACAGGAATGATCTATTGTTGATTTGTTTTCCCCTTGTGTATCCGACACGTCATCAAAAACTCCTTCAAGTTATTTTCTTTGATCGATTTGTTTATCAAACCAAGACAAAGGCAGTTTAGTTTGATTAATGTTTAAAGTCAAGGTTTGAACGGATTAGTCGTTGGAATAGGGGATTTAGTCAGTGGCGCCAGAGTTTTGAAAAATTGGGTAAAAAAAAGTACTTGATGTCACAAGGGAAAACTAAAAAATGATAATAATCACAGCAATGTTTGGGAGAGTCCATTTACTTCTGAGGGAGTAGTTATACCTGTGAGGGATAACCTTGACTTGGATTAGGTGGAAATACACCAACGCATTATGTGATAACTGGCCGTCTGTTTTTTCCCCCTTTGCGTGACTCGGGCCCATCATCAACGTCACCACAAAGTCCCGGTGATTTGCCAGCTGAATTCTGATGATGGGTATGGAATGTTGGTTGCCCTAGACCATGCAAACCTGTGGGTGGGTCGGGGTTCGACCGGGTGTTTTGGAATTAATTGAAAACCTTGGACTGGACTTAGTTGGTGTTTTGGGGCAGTTTAAATGCCAGACAAACATTTCACTCTGGGAGCGTGGCATAGCAAGCTGTGTGGAACCAGTATGGTTGAATCCTGTGAGAGAACAATGTGGAATCTAGTGAAGATGTTAAAGCAAGACTCTGGACTGACAGCAACGCAGATACTGGATTTGCTTGCATCTACACCAGTTAGAACAAAGAGCAAACTGTGCAATGAACCAGTCATCAGGGTGAGTTGTTTTACTTCCCCCCTCCCTTCCCAAATCAACTGGAGGAAAAAATCTACAATCGCACTTCATGTATGTAACTTGTTTTTGTAGAGCTTTTAATTAATTAATTGTGGGGCACGTGTGGTCTAGTGGTGGAGCACAGGATTCGTGATCGAGAGGTTGTGGGTTCGAGCCCATCGTGGACATGCGTGTTGTGCCCTTGAGTAAGGCGCTTTACCTCAATTACTCCTCTCAACCCAGTTGTTAAATGGGTACTGGCATTATTCAATGCTGGGAAGGTAACAGACTCGCTGTGGAGGAGGTGTGATGATCCCCCCACAGCAGCATATGAGTCTGGCCCAATCGCTAACGAAAGAGAGATGGGCACTCCGTTCCTGTGAATACAGGTTCGTCCCCCCTTAATTAACTAAAGGGTTCATGACATGAATCTTACATGTACTTGGGAACGTATGTGACCCTACCCAACAAAATGAGTTACAAGTTGCCAGAGCTACCGTACTTTAGATTAATTTTCTTTTAAAAGAATCTAACCATATATGGAAGTCAATAGGAATTGCTCAACTTTTCGGTCACATATTTTGTACAACTTTCCTTTTCCTCTTAAATGTATGAAAACTATTTGACATCCCTTTTTTGTAAATTTCATTGAAAGGGTCATTTTTTTTTAAATTTAAAATTGTCCATGCTTTTCCTGACAAATGAGGGCGCTGTTCAGTGTTGTTGTGATGTCATTTCAGGAAGACACTGCTCACTTAAGGGGTTTTCTCTTCAAATTGTCAACCCAAAATTTGCTCCTTGAAAACAATTGCAGCGACAAAAGATTGTTAGACCGACCAGCGTTCAAATATCGAGGAGATTAAGCAAATCTTTTCTCAACTAAAACCGTCAAGAAATCCCACAGTGGCAACTTTATCAGATTAAAAACAAATTTAAAGCACGTGTCACCTGACCACACAAAAAGGCACGTTGTTTTCTTGAAGATACACGTGCAGGCAAAATTACGAAAATCATTACAAAATTTCTTATCAATGATCATCATTAGGACTAATTAGGACAAATGCATGTTTCCTGTCTACATGTAAATATAAATGTCAGGTAAATAGAACAGAATACTTCAAAGAATAATTAAGAGTTTATGTTTTCCTTAGGCGAGCCCTCAGATTAGAATCCCTCCCCGGACCGTTCGGGGTTGAGCCCGCCCAGTATGTTGAAGGGATTGGGACCTTGCATGGAACCGATCGGCCTGGATTAACTCCACCAGGCTTCTGCACCATGGCTCTGGCTCATCACAAAGGAACCAATTTGCGACGCGCTAAACCTCCAGTAGGCAACAATGACTGTGATGAGCTTCATAGAAGTTGCCGCTGGTAATCCCAGCAGGCCGAATAATCCTCCAATAATGGCCAGACTTCAATTTATGTTGCCTATTGTGAAACCCTGAGTCACCAGTTTGGGCCGATTGGGGCGTCACGCTTCAGTGACCGGGTGGCTTCTGGCTTCGTACCGATTGGGGTGAAAGAAATTAGCATACCGGACCCGGTACCCGAACGGTCTGTTATCTGATGGCTCGCCTTATTTAAGTCTAATGAGGGCTGAGGCACTGAAGTAGAGGGGGAAGGGGGTCTAAACCCTCCCTCGGGCTGCAAAAAATAGAAAATCACACCGAAAAGAGAAGCAAATCCCCCTTGACAGCCAAAGCTGGATCTGTCTCTGTACTTTGCCGGGAATTCATGAAATTGCACTGGTGATCTAAATTTAAACCAACTCGAAGGCTACATCAAAATTAAAAAATAATTATTCCTAAAAACAAAAAAACAAAAATAGGAAAATTTTGAAAACATTCATAACTATTTCCGCTGGGCGAGTAACCCAATTACTTGATTGCTCGCGAGTAGTTTATAAGAAATGATACTCGTGGTTTTTTATCGTCTGGAGTACTCGTTCTGGTGCGAGTAGAAGCAGGTTCTCACAAGTAGAAATTTAGGGTTAAGGGTTCACAGCTTAACCCTAACCATCCCAAATCCTCCAAAATCCTTTTTTGCAAACTGGAGGAATTTGCAGCGTTGGAAAAATACAGTTTTCCTTGAAAATGTCAGCACACAAGGAGCCACAATTTTACAGGATGCTTTAGAATGTCAGTCCCTAACAATTCAGTAAGGTATTTCGTGATAATTTGATCATTTCGTTTATTGATGTTTGCAAATGTTGTATCTTCCCTTTAAACATTTAAAATTGCATACAATTGCAGCGACAAAAGATTGTTAGACCGACCAGCATTCAAATATCAAGGAGATTAAGCGAATCTTTTCTCAATTAAAACCGTCAAGAAATCCCACAGTGGCAACTTTATAAGATTAAAAACAAATTTAAAGCACGTGTCACCTGACCACAAAAAGGCACGTTGTTTTCTTGAAGATACACGTGCAGGCGAAATTACGAAAATCATTACAAAATTTCTTATCAATGATCATCATTAGGACTAATTAGGACAAATGCACGTTTCCTGTCCAAATATAAATGTCGAGTTAAATAGAACAGAATACTTCAAAGAATAATTAAGAGTTGCATGTTTTCCTTATTTAAGTCTAATGAGGGCTGAGGCACTGAAGTAGAGGGGGGTAGGGGGTCTAAACCCTCCCCTTGGGCTGCAAAAAATAGGAAATCACACCGAAAAGAGAAGCAAATCCCCCTTGACAGCCAAAGCTGGATCTGTCCCTGTACTTTTCCAGGAATTCATGAAATTGCACTGGTGATTTAAATTTAAACCAACTCGAAGGCTACATCAAAATTAAAAAATAATTATTCCTAAAAACAAAAAAACAAAAATAGAAAAAATTCGAAAACATTCATAACTATTTCCGCTGGGCGAGTAACCCGATTACTTGATTGCTCGCGAGTAGTTTATAAGAAATGATACTCGTGGTTTT